TTAACGTGAGTGTACAATTAATATCGATGAATATTAAAATAAGATATACTTGTCTTTCTGCAGGTGAATATGACATGGTGACGTTGCTGTTTAGCGACATAGTTAGCTTTACAAATATATGTTCCCAATGCCGTCCAATTGATATTGTTAATATGTTGAACGCGCTGTACACGCGATTCGACAGACTCACGTCTGTACATGATGTATACAAGGTAAGTTGATTATGAGGGATTGGTAACTGAAGCGTTTGAGTTCGCAGACTACTACATCAAATATCATAGTATAAATTTAAATTTGCAATTACTATTAATATCTATTGCTAAATGCAATCAGATGAAACATACACAATAACACAATTGATATGTATAGAAATATAGCATGTTGTAACTGGATAGAAAACTTATAACTAGTATGTACCATCACCATACCATCCTCATTATCATTATCATGGCAACCATTAACACTACCACTACCACCACCACCACCATCATAAAAGTTACCAAAACGAGTTGTGTTTTTGTAGTTTTCCAAGTCAATTCTAGTTCATAAAATACGTGTGGTAGTACCTCATAGACCCAGACGCTGTCTGAGGTTATAGATAGTTGTATGTTTTTTTAGTTTTTTTTCATACTTACCAAACATAAAACGACAATAAAATAATCTTGTATTATCAATGTTATTATCATCATTAGGACTTTAGTTACTATTATCATTCCCGATAATGTTATGTATCAATTCGTAATTGGAATTTTAATTTTGAAAAGGTTGAGACTATTGGGGATGCGTACATGGTTGTAGGCGGTCTACCCCTTCCAATCAAAACGCACGCTGCTCGTATTGCCAACATGGCGCTTGGCATGATGATAATATCAAAGGAGGTCATTTCACCGATTACGAATGAGCCTATTGGGGTAAGATATCATAATTATAATCAAAATATTAATAAATATCATAATAAATAATATAGATAACCAGGTACTGTTTTAGTTGATTAAGTTGCATATGTACATA